TTCACCGTGTTAGCCAGGATGGTCTCGATCTCCTGACCTCGTGATTCGCCCATCTCGGCCTCCCAAAGTGCTGGGATTACAGGCTTGAGCCACCGCTCCCGGCCATGTGTAGAGATTTGTCTGATGCTAACGCCTGCGCTTTGAAAGCCAGTCATGGAAGGATTCCTGGAGGAGTTAATATTTTTCTTTCCAACCCTTTTATGTTTTCTCATGCTGAACCCTTGCAAAAGCCAGCATTTGGGGATTTCCATCCCCAAGGAAACTGAAGCTGAGGAGGATTAAGAGATTTGCCCAGGGCCACAGTCCCTAAGAGCCAGGATTCGGAGCAGATGTGTCAAGGGTTTCTTGGGTACAGTAGAGTCCCTGTGGGGAGGAACAATGCCTGATGACCTCCTGGGGCCTCAGATGGCCCCCACCATGAGCCTGCAGGTAATTGGACCCCCTAGCCCAGGCTCCAAGGTGGTGCTGTGGGCCGAGAGCCGCCTGCCGCGCCAGACGTGGAGCATCAGTGAATCTGGCCACATCTGCAGCCAGATGTTCGAAGGCCAGATCCTGGATGTGAAGGGTAAGGTGGGATGTACGGGGAAGAGGGCTCCTGAGGGGACTGAGAGCCATGGAGTCCCAGCTCTCTCTGACTATCTCCCTATCTTTTAATCCCCATCCCACCCCCAGGAGGCCGGGGCTACGACCGGGACCACGTGGTACTATGGGAGCCGGATGAGGACAGGGCATCCCAGATCTGGACCATCCATGTGCTTTGAACCTTTTCACCTCACCCTCCAGCCCTGGAGGCTTTTGCTGGGATGAATGTCTTTATAGGGTTTTTGTTGTAACATAAGCTGTTTTCTAATATGCTGCCAGGTACCCTTGTCTCTGTGCACCTTGATATTTCGGGGTGGGGTGGGGATTTGTTCACCTGCCTTCTTCCCTGAGGCTCAGGCTGACTTCTTCCCTCCTGGCTCCAGCTTTGGGGTTCAGCTGTTAGGTCTCCTTCTGCCATCAGAGGGCGCCCTGGGACCGGACTAACTGGGGAGTGTAGTCTCGCGCGGCCACCCAAATGATGTGTTGTGAGAGCTGGGTCTCAGCCGGCCCTGGGCTGTTCGGGCACAGACACAAACTGAGCCTTTTGGTCCCTGTCCTTAGGGAACTTACAGTCCCATAGAGGATCCTGACGGGTAGGGTGATGCATCCATGAGAAGGGAGGAAAGAAGTAGAGGGACTCACACAGCAGGAACGTCACCCCCCCAAAGGGGTGCAGGGCAGGCTGAGATATCCCTCTGCACACATCAGGGACCTGCAGCTGAGTTGTCAGGGTGGGAGGGAGTTAGCCAGACTCCAGGAGGCAGATAAAGAATATTCTAGAGATGCATACAAGTCCAGGGTGAAAACGTGGAAGTTAGCGTGATGGGGGCGCCCTGGGCCAGGCACGGGAGATGAGTGTGAGCCACACCCTGAAGGGCTGTGCCTCCAGGGCTTGCTGCACTCACCCCAACTCTGGTCTTAGAGAAGCCACGACAGGGCGTCTGGGTCTTTAACCCACCTCAGAGAGGGCAGGACATAGAAGAGGGGGAGCTCCCTCTGTCCCTGGAGGTCCTCAAGGAAGAAGCCAAGGTGGGAGGGGCCCTTGGGGGGTGCCCTGGGGCTCCCTTCCATCCCTGCAGCACCCACCTCCCCCAAGCCCAGGAGGGTGGGAGTGGTCAGAGCAGCTGCTTGCCCTTCCTGCCTTCCCAGCCCCTGGGCCAGCATGGGAGGTAGACAGCCACCAGTCATCCTTCTCCAGCTCCAGATGCCTGTGGGGCTGGTTTGCTGGGGATCTAAAGACCATGTTGAGGGGTGTCCCTGGGTCTGGGGATCTCCCTGGATCTGTCATTCTGAAGATACCCAGGTAGTGGGGTAGAGGCTCTCTGAGCCTGGGATGTCCAGGGTAGTGGCATCTCTAGTACCATCATTCCCAAACACCCAGGGATGAGTGAAGCAAATGCAACTGCAGGGGTTGGTGAGGCTGCCAGGTTCTGGGCCTTGTCCCTGTAATGTGCTTCTGAGGGGAGGGGCCCTCAGCGTTGGAATTTAGGTAGGGAAGCTGGGGGCTGCTCCCTGGTGCCAACTTCCCTGCTGATGGGGGAATGGGAAGCTCCCTGGTGCTGCTGCACAGCTGGCTCTTGGGGCGTAGGGATGGACAGTAACCGCACACAGGACCCCACTGCATGTACAAGGGTAACTTTATTGACCCCCAGCTGGGCAGTACTTGGCCCCTACATCATTACCCCCCTATTTCGGCTGTTGCCACCATGGCACTGCCTGTCAAATTCTACAACCTGGTGATGTCTGGCTCAACCCCTCCCAAGGATGGAGGGGATTCTCTTGCGAGTGATGGTGGCAGCTGTTTCAGGGGGCACAGGGCTAAGGCTGAGACGTGTCACCTCAACTGAAGTAGAAGAGGTGGATTATGGCATTGGCCACGAAGAAAAGGAAACCGCCTCCGCTCAAGTTGCTGGATGCTGAGGGGCTGCTGTTTTGGCTGGTGGCGTTTTGTCCGGAGACTCCAGTTTGTATCTGCAGGAGGAGAAGTGGGATAAGCTCAGGGGACTTTTTTATTTTATTTCATTTTATTTTATTTTATTTTTTGAGGCAGAGTCTCACTCTGTCACCCAGGCTGGACTGCAGTGGTGCGATCTCGGCTCACTGCATCCTCCACCTCCCGGGTTCAAGTGATTCTCCTGCCTCAGCCTCCTGAGTAGCTGGAACTATAGGCACGCGCCACCACGCCTGGCTAATTTTTCTACTTTTAGTAGAGATGGGTTTTCACCATGTTGGTCAGGCTGGTCTCGAACTCCTGACCTGGTGATCCACCCGCCTCGGCCTCCCGAAGTGCTGGGATTACAGGCGTGAGCCACCATACCCAGCCCTCAGGGGACTTCTGAATCTCCTGTTTGTTATTTAAAGATGCAGCCCCCTTTCTACCCTCCCTGCCCTCCATCCCCCCACCTCCATAAAACAGTCCTCAGTTCTGTCCCATGTGACCACTACTTCTTCCACAAGGTCCTGTCAGGATGTTTGGCTGCTCCCTGCTTTGACACAGGCAGGGACAGAGGTGATCACTGCCCCTGCCCACCCCCTTTCACAGAATCTTTCTGTTTTTTTGAGATAGAGTTTCGCTCTTTTGCCCTGGCTGGAGTGCAGTGGCGAGATCTCGGCTCACTGCTACCTCCACCCCTGGTTTCAAGTGATTCTCCTGCCTCAGCCTCCCGAGTAGCTGGGATTATAGGCGCCCACCATCACGCTCAGCTAATTTTTTTTTCCCCCCAAGACACAGTCTCTCTCTGTCGCCCAGGCTGGAGTGCAGTGGCGCGATCTCGGCTCACTGCAAGCTCCACCCCCGGATTCACGCCATTCTCCTGCCTCAGCCTCCCAAGTAGCTGGGACTACAGGCGCCCGCCACCATGCCCGGCTAATTTCTTTTTGTATTTATGGTAGAGACAGGGTTTCACCGTGTTAGATGGGATGGTCTCAATCTCCTGACCTCATGATCTGCCCGCCTCAGCCTCCCACAGTGCTGGGATTACAGGCATGAGCCACCGTGCCTGGCTCGCCTAGCTAATTTTTGTATTTTTAGTAGAGACGAGATTTTGTCATGTTGGCCAGGCTGGTCTTGAACTCCTGACCTAAGGTGATCCGCCCACCTCGGCCTCCCAAAGTATTGGGATTATAGGCATGAGCCACCGTGCCCAGTCACAGAACCTTTCTTTTTACCTCTCCCCAGCCACCAGCCCCTCTGGCATAGAGGGAGACGGGAGCCCTGGCCCTTGACCTTCCTAGCCTGGCAAAGGGCTTAGCTTCCCTGAGCCTCAGTTTCCTCTTCTGAGTGGGGAGAAGTTCATCACAGTTGTGAAGGTCACAAGAGCCCGGGCTGAGTGAGAAAGCACTTTGCAAAGCGTGGGTGGCTGGATGGTGATCAAGCTGTCCTTAATGCTTGATGGAGCTGCAACTAGAGCTGTTCTTGATGGAGATTAAGCTGGTTTTGATGGTGATCAAGCTGTTCTTGATCAAGAACTTGATGTCCGGTCTCCTGTACTGACTCCCCTCTGGGCACCTGGGATGCTACCAAAGCTGCCTCCTGGAATAGCAGTCGCTTTTGAGACTCCAATTATTTCTGAAGTGGGAGAGTCCTGTCTTCTTTGCATTCCTGAACATCCAGGCTTCTCTCTGGCAGGGGAGTGGGGGTTGGAGTGTCCCCTGTCACCTCCAGAACCACAGCAGGCTCCACTTGGACATCTGGCCTCTCCCCAAAGGACCATCTCCCCAGACTCCCTGTGGGCCGATGTCTTCCTCACTTAGGGTTGTCTTCCAAAGTCTCTTAATTATTATTCCACAGCACCCCTTGGGTGCCCCAATGCTCCCGGCACCCTGTAAGTGCTCCCCAGCTTGGATACAGGTTTCTCTCAGGGCAGCCTGCAAGCAGTCCAGCTCCAGCCAGAAGAACTGGAAAGCTGGGCGGCCAGGCCCGCTGTGTCCCTGATTTTCCTGTTGGAGTCCATCTGCTGTGCTCTCAGGAGAGAAGGCTGGGTCTCTGGGAGCTCACATCCTGTATGCCCTCCCTCCATGCCAAGCAACTTTGGGGAGTCCTGGCAGTGGTGCCAGGGGTTGCTCTTACCTGTACCATAACCAGGAGGCTGATGGTGAGTAAGAGGAAGAGGAAGCGCTTCATTTTGGTAGGATCTTGGCTGTCTTGGTAGCAGCTTTTTAGGTGATCTCAGGGCTGTCTGGAGGCTTCTTTTGGCTTGGGTGCTTTTGAACCAGGAGGCAGGGGAGGCGGGGTGAGGCAGGGAGAGGAAGGACGGCCTACAAGGTGGAGGAGGGGTGTGGCTTCCTTTCTGCAGATCTGGGGTTGGATAATACCAGGCCCTAGGTTCTAAGGCCCTGGCTGAGGGAGCAGGCTAGATCCTAGGAGATAGGAGAGAGGTCAATCCAGAGGCAACGGTGGGAGTAAGTAGGGCCCGAGGCTTGGAGTCATGCATCCTGCAGGCTGAATCCTGGTCTAATCACTGACCAACTCTGAGACCCTGGGCCAGAAACTCTACCTCTCTGACCGTTTAACAAAAGAACTGCCGGATTACTTGTAATAATAACCAATTTTAAAAGAGCCAGCACATAGCAAATAGTCATAAATGAGTTTGTTGCTTAAAGAAGATACAGGCAGGGTATAGGAGCTCAAGGAGAAAGGCTGGGATAGATTTAGGTTTCAAGGGAAGGTTGTAGATGGGCTGCAGGTTCTGAATGAAAGCTTGGGAAATATTTAGATTGTAGAGGGGATGGTAGAGTTCTGTGAAAGTGCTGGAGATGAGGAATCGGGAAGCCTGGTTTTAATTGGGCTTTCTCTCTCTAGGCCTCAGTTCCTCATTTCAAGGAACTGGGAAGACTGAAATAGATTATTTCTGAAGTTTAAGACCTTGAGTTTTGTTTTGTTGTTGTTGTTGTTGGGGTTTTTGTTGTTGTTGTTGTTGCTTTTAGACAGAGTTTTGCTCTGTGCAGTGGCACGATCTCGGCTTACTGCAACCTCCACCTCCTCGATTCAAGCAATTATCCTGCCTTAGCTTCCTGAATCGCTGGGACTGCAGGTGTGTGCCACCACGCCTGGCTACTTTTTTGTATTTTTGTGTGTGTGTGTGTGTGTGGAGACGGGGTTTCACCACGTTGGCTAGGCTGGTCTCAAATGCCTGACCTCAAGTGATCCGCCTGCCTCAGCTTCCCAAAGTGCTGGGATTACAGGCATGAGCCACCGCACCCAGTCAAGACCTAGCATTTTGTGGTTTGGGTAGAGAAAGTAGCAAGCAGATGAGTTGTTTGTATTAGCTGAGGATGAGCGA